AACCAAAGGAAAGGGGTAAGAGAAGGCCCTAAAGATGGGTATAAATACCAAAGAGCTTGTAGATGGTAGAAGGGAAACTGAGGGAGATTCATTTTCTCATTCTGGTACCATGAAAGCTTATTTCTGTTCAAACAGGACAGCAAGGTTGGTTTCTGGTTTCCCAAATACTATTATAGTAGAAAGTACTCATCTAAAGTAAGTATAATACCACACAATTGTTTATTTTCAATGATAAAAATGAATCAATTGTTTAAATTAACTTAATTTGGGACCAGCAGATGGTGTAACAGTTAAGTCATTGAACTCCCATGTAGTCTAAAATGGTTCAAGTCCTGGACCCAGCGGATTACAACTCACACTGGGTGTGTGTGTGCATGTGTGCCCAAGATCCTGAGAGGGGAATGGAGGTGAAGAGGCTGTGGTGTGGCCATCCTCCCTGGAAGGTGATTTCTTGTTTTCTGTCTCTGTCTCTCTGGCAAGTACATGTGCCTTATAGCAACAATCTCTCAAAAACAAATTAAAATTAACTTAATTTTACCAAAATTAATCCCTTTTTTCTTTATAGATAACCTCTGGCTGTCAATCACTGACAAGTTCAAAACATAGTATGTAATAATAAGGTATCAAGAAAGGTTTATTCGGGACCAGCAGTTAGTGTAATGGCTAGGGCGCTGGACTCCCATGTAGTCAACTGCGGTTCGAGTCCCAGATCTGGTGGCTTAAACTCATGCCGGGAGCATATGCATGCATGCTCAAGATCCCGAGAGGGGAATGGAGGAGAAGGTATTGTGGCGTGGCCATCCCCCTGGGGGGTGATTTCTCGCTTTCTGTCTCTCTGTCTCTCTCTGTCTGTCTGGTGAGTGCACGTGCCCTATAGCAAAAATCTCTCCAAAAAGAGGGAAAAAAAAAAGAAAAAAGAAAGGTTTATTCGAAAACACAAAATTAAGAGCTGAAGATGCAGGAGAAAAGAGCCAACAAGTTCCAGGAGGTGAGGAAATTCTTGCATGATCTGAAAGAGGAAATACAAACCATAAAAAAGAATCAAACAAAACTATTTAGAGACGAAGGCTGTATTATAGGAAATCAAAACCTCCCCTAAAAGTATTGAAAGCAGGTTAGATCATGTAGAAGATCAAATCTCAGATGTAGAAGACAGAACCTCTGCCCTAGAAAAATTCACCATGAAGACTGAGAAAATAGCCCCCCAAAAAGAATAATATATGAGAAATACTACATACCATTAAATGTACAAATATCTGGATAACTTGTATCCCAGAAGGTGAAGAGACTAATAAGGGCACTGATAATCTATTCCATGAAATTCTGGAAGAAAACTTTCCAAACCTAGAGAGACATTCAAGGATCCAGACTTAAGAAATACAAAGGACCCCAAATAGAAACATCCCAAGAAGATCTTCTCCAAGACAGATTATAGCCACAGTGACCAAAACAACAGACAAAGACAAGATACTAAAATTGACAAGAGAGAAATGTCAAGTTACTTTCAAAGGATATCCCATCAGGCTAACAGCAGACCTCTCATTGGAAACAATGAAAGCAAGGAAAGAATGGGAAAATATATTCAGAGTTTTAAGTGAAAAACTATTTCAACCAAGAATACTATACTTGACAAGATTACCCTTCATATGAGAAGAAAAGACAAAAATATTATCAGATAAACAAAACCTGAAAGTATTTACCAACATCAGACTAAGTTCTCCAATAAGTTCTGAATGGAGTGTCATACCAAGAAATCTAAATACAGACACGCAGAAATAAGAGTTCAAAAACAACCAAGAAAATGGCCAAATTAATGGTAGGGATAAGTTTGGAACTGAATGTTATCTTCCAGAATTGAAATGAAAAGATCGGACTACAACAGAAAATAGATTAAGTACATGAGACTGAACTGGTGAAATAGAATTTTATGACTTTTGACTAAAACATTACTGATTTTCTTCTAAGCTTTGTTTTCCAGATTTAAGGATTTTTGTCTTCTTTTGAGCTATTGATAGGTTCATGTACCAACCACTTGACCAGAATTCTAACCTGTTTCCTGGTTTTAAGCGTTAAGCAAATTTCTCTTAACATTTTTTTATTTTGGTTTATTAAAGCTAAATTGCTTGAAAAAAAATATATATATATATATTTAAAAATACCTATTTAAGGACCACAGTGAGCTATATAGCCTCAGCTAGGTGCTACGTTATAGTATATTCATTCTATTCATGGAGTTTCATGTCTAAAGTCAGATATGTATCCACATATATGTATATGTCAACTAAACCTGCTATTGACAATATTTAGAGTATTTAAGATATTTTGTGAATCAATAAAATGTGAGGGGAAAAAAGGAGTGGAAAGCAACTGCAGATGCCAGAGACAGTGTTGGAGGAGGGTGGGAAACAGCAGAAGGTGAGAAATAGGGAATCAAAAGAAAAAAAAAAAAGAAAGAAAAATATATAAGAAACAAGAAATGGAGAAGTATTTGTTGACAATAACATGTATGATTAAGTCAATATACAGTGTATTCTGCATGAGAAATCACATTTTGTATGCTGTGGTGATATTCAGTGAATTAATGTAAAATATATAAATTTAAAATAAAATTTAAAAAAAAAGGGGGCCAGCAGGTGGCTTGGTTGTTAAGGGTGCTAGACTCCCACATGACTGACTGTGGTTTGGGTCCCAGACCTGGTGACTTGCTTTCTCACTTTCCCTCTCTCACTCTGTCCCTCTCTGGTCAAATTTAAATAAATAAATAAAGTTAAATAAAATAATTAAAAAAAAAAAAGAAAACAAGGCAACAACTCATAGGAACTGCAATTTATATTTGGGTTGAACATATATGCAAAAGCTAGTTACCAAACCATGCACACCAGATGTTCTATTATAACAGATTACTAACTATAGTGCTCACTGAAAAACTGACTTGACTCATTTGAAGTTTTCTCTCCTTTCTCAACTTTCTATCTCATCTACCCATACAGAATCACTGCTACTAATATAGGCCATTTTAGCTTCTCAAAAAAACCCCAAATCTACCATACTCTTGTTACAACACAGGTGGTAGAGTTCCACTACGTGATGCTGGAGCTACAGGAAGGTGCAAGGCTGGTTCCCAGACCACCACCACCAGGCATGAGCCTATAATCCTACCTAACTGGGAGGCTGGGGTGGGAGGATTATATCACAAGAACCTGTCAAAAATCTTCACCTCAATTTTTCCCTTTCTAGTATTAAAAAAAAAAAATGATCACATACCTATGCAAGGGCAGCTACAAGACATCACTAGAAAGGTATCGAGTAAAACACTTTTCTATACTGAGAGAGTAAATATATGATTTTTAAAATACAGACTAGGCCTGGACCTGCCCCAAAGCACAACAGTTACATACTGTGCATAGAAAGCTGGATCCCACATGGCTGACCATGGTTCTAATTCCAGCCCTAGCAGCTTGAAAAGCACAGGGGATGGACCAGCAGTTAGCGTAATGGCTATGTCACTGGACTCCCACATAGCCGACTGTGGTTCGCATCCCGGACCCGGTGGCTTAAAACTCATGCCGGGCGCATGTACGTGTGTGCCCAAGATCCTGAGAGGAGAACGGAGGGGAAGGGATTGTGGCGTGGCCATCCCCCCTCGGGGGTGATTTCTCACTTTCTGTCTCTCTGTCTGTCTCTCTCTATCTGTCTGGCGAGCGCACGCGCCCTATAGCAAAAAAAAAATTATCTTTAAGTGAAAATGAGTAACTATACATATTGTATGCTAGCAACTAAATAAATTTTCAAAGGGATGAGTAAAGTGCTTACAAACTCATGTAAACACACATACAAACGTAAATACTTAAAGAATACATCAAGCAATTTTTTGAGAGAGAGATTTTGGCTACAGGGCACATGAGCTTACCAGAGAGACAGAGATACAGAAAGTGAGAAATCACTCCCCTAGCGGGAGGGGCGGGTGGCCATCCCGTAACCCCTTCTCCTCCATTCTCCTCTCAGGATTTTGGGCACACATGTGCCTGGTGTTTGTCTCAGGCCATCAGGTCCAAGACTTGAGCCACGGTCAATCACATGGGAGTCCAGTGCCTTAACTAGTACACCACCTGCTGGCCCCCAAGCATGTGTTTCAAAAGGTTTCCTGTAGAGCCAGCAGGTGGCATGGCCAACTACATGATCCGCAACCTGGGCTGGTGGCTTGAAAAACAGGTTGAGCACATAAGCGTGCATGCGTGCCCAAAATGTTGAGAGGAGAAGAGAAAGGATTGTGGTGTGAGCATTTCCCCAGAGGGGTGATTTCTCACCTTTCCTTTCCCTCTATCTCTTTCTCTCTGTCTCCAGTAAGCATACTCACCCGATAGCAAACAAACAAACAAACAAGATTTAAAATAAACAAAAGTTGTTCATGGTCACAGTAATTCTTTAGCCTTATACGTAAAGGGTGTGACAGATTTAAGAGCTATTAAAATAAGATGTTTTCCCCCCTTTCAATGCAGAAAGAAATCAGGAGACAAGAAAGGGATTGAAGACTGGAATATGTCTTCCAGAGTCTCTGATGAGTGTCATCCCCTGCCCCACCATAAACCAGGAACAGCTGTACCTTCAGATCACATGCCAACCCCAACTCACTCTTTCTGTGGGAAGTACAAGATAGGGAAGGTCTCTACTTGTAAGGGAAAGGGGTAGCAGGTGAATGGATCGGAAAGAGGGACCCAGTGAATGGCTCTCTATCTCCACAAGCCCCTGACCTACACTGACGAGGAAATCTCACCCCCTGCCAGGCAGGAGGAAGGTAGACAGTCAGGCAAACACCCTTTCTCCATCTCTGCCCCACTCAGTCCATACATGCCCCAAACACCACACTGGGCGTCGTTAACTACTAGTCCCTGAGGACACGGTTTCAAATAAGGAAATTTACCCTTTAGAGGACTATATAGATTTTGGGAGGAAGGGTTAGTCTTCTGATATGTTTAGTTTCACCAGAAAGGAAAACTTACTGTTGATGTGATCGATGTAGTAGACACCAATCTGAGGGTCAAACCCTGCTTCCCATCCCCACGGCAGCTCATCCCCAACACAGTCAGCAAACGACAAGGGCTTCGTTAACCTATAACAAACCAGAATAAATACATGGTGATTTTTTGACATGAAACCACATAGGTTGAATTTTAGCACACCAATTGTAAGATGTCCAGGTTGCATTTCCTTCTTGCTCTTGATTGTTTTCAGAGATTGCACTACTGAGTTTGAAATCTTAAAGAAAAACAGGATAATATACAGAGGTGAATCCCAAAAAGAGGAAAATAAGTCATAATACCCTTTTGAAATAAATAAAGCCAACTTAAACCCAGGAGAACTCTAAGCCAAGAGTGAGGATGGGGTCTATCTCTAGTGCTGTAACAAAATAGTTATTCCATTCAATTGGTCCCAGGGTTCAAACAGTGGCATCATGACCGTCCCAGAGAGACCTCTAAGACAGAACATGCATCAGGCTACACTAATTTCAGATTTAGATGCTTTTATAATAAATTAAATACTCAACTGTGAGTTTTTGAACAGGACAAACATGTCTTATTTTTAAAGTATCTTGTACATACCAGTCATTCAACAAAATTTAAATAAAACAAAACACAAAGTAATCACATATTAATGTTAGCTCACCTTTTGAAATTGCCATATATCAATGCTTTCTCAGACTACTTTTCTTTAAGATTAATGTGAAACTAGTTTCCTAGGCGAAGTATAGGTCTTGGACTTAATTACGAGTTAACCTTTTTCTCTCACTTCCTTCCTTTTTGCTTTTGAGACTTCCCGTGGTTGTTAGACCCATCATGGGCTAATAACACCACAGAATGCCTTAGGACAGCCCTCATCAGTCAACATTATCTTCTAATTTAATATACTGGCACGCATGTATGGTTCTCACATACAAAATTTCCTGCAACTCCTTACATTCATGCAAGTGAATATCCAAGATCTCATAGCTCACTGAATAAAAAGGTCATTGCCAAAAATCATGTCATTCATCAGAAAAACAAAATACATTATCTACCCTTCAAAGTGCTAAAGAGAAGGACATGAAAAGCAAGAGAATCCTTTCTTTCCAGACCTGGCCTATAACAGCCCTCCAAGGACATGAAATACCAGTGGATGAAAGGAAGGATTAGAAGGGTTTCCTTTCCTCTCAACCTTCCCATAGCATGCAATTTCCTTCTGGAGATGGCTTCAGGGACCCTGGACTTCAAAATCAACTCAGCTGACAGAAGCAATAATCAGGGCAACCAACTCTGCCACTGGCTCACTCTGAGACCAATTATGGGAAGTGTCTTTTTACTTTAGTTTCCTTCTTTTAATTGGTGTTCATAGCCCCACATCCAGTTCCTACAATCAAACTATCTCCTAAGATCAATGTGAGGATAAGAAGGAATTAACTTGGAACAGTGTCTAGTCAATAAATGGTAGTGGGGGCCAAATGATGGTACAGCTGTGACACAATGCTCTGCAATACTGCGCCTGCATGGGAGAGTCCTCGGTTCACATGCTGGGGCTTCCCTGTGCATGCCGGGTGTGCACACCCAGGGTCTGGATGGGCTAGGGGTGGACTGTGGCAACCAAGGCCCTGTTGGGGGTCCTTAGCTCACTCTCTCTCTCTAACTGAAGAAACAAATGAAAATTTTAAATTTTATATTCAAATTTTTGAATGAATGTTAGTGATTAGTAACACAATCACATGCAAATTCTCTTTTATTCTTCAGTAGAACCAAGTCAGGCAACATAGTATAGAACAAAGTTTATCAGAGTATGAGCCCCAGACAGCAGCATCAACACCTAGGATCTGATTAGAAAGGCAAATCCTCGGACCATATTGTAGACCTACAATATCAGAAACTCTAGGGCCCAGCAACGCTCTCTGGAAAATTCTGCCACACACTAAAGTTTGGGAACCACTGGCTTACAAGTTAAGAGCTTAAAATTTAGCAGAAAGATGTGAGTTCAAATCTTTGCTCTGCTATTTACTCACTGTACAGCCTAAGGCAAAGTATTAGCCTTAAAAGACCAGCTTTCAAATTTATTTATTTATTTATTGGACAGTTTTTTGCTATAGGGCGTGTGTGCTTGCAAAAAGACATAGAGAGACAGAGAGACAGAAAGCAAGAAATCCCCCCCCAGGAGGGATGGCCACGCCACAATCCTTTCTCCTCCATTCTCCTCTCGGGATCTTGGGCACGCATGCACACACGCCTGATGTGAATTTAAGCCATCAGGTACAGGACTTGAACCGTGGTTGACTACATTAGAGTCCAGCGACATAGCCATTATGTCAACTGCTGGTCTCCTAAATCTATTTTATAAGGGGTATGGGGAAAACTTATAAAATTTAAATGAGAACAAAGCAGTATATTGCCTGACAAATAGTAATTTCAACACAATTAAATGAGTGGGTGTATCTTGAAGAAGTCAAGCAATTTGCCCAAATATGGCAACTTGCCATATTTACTTAGTAAACATGGAGTCCATTTTACAGTGTATTCTGGCTGGAAAATAGCATTTTGTATGCTGTGGTGATGTTCAGTGAAAGTATGTAAAATAAATAAATTATTAAAGTAAAAAAAATTTTTTTAAATAACTGATGACAACTGTACTTGATACACTGTCTTCAAGTATAAGCCTTTATAATAAATTCTTGAACATGTTTCGTAAAAAAAAAAAAAAAAAAAAAAAGGTAATTTAGCCACAAACATAGGCAGTAGACAAGTTTTACCTTGGCACCAATTTAACACTGATTTTTTTTTTCCTTTTCTTTTTTTTAAGAAAGGGAGTGTGCACTCACTGGAGAGACAGAGAGACAGAAAGGGAGAAATCACTCCACTCCCCAGTGGTGATACCATACCACAATCCTTTCTCCTCCATTCTCCCCTCGGGATTTTGGGCATGCATGCACACATGCCTACCATGAGTTCTAAGCTGCTGAGTCCAGGACTCAAACCATGGTCAACTATGTGGGCGTCCAGCGATGTAACCATTACTCCTCCATGTTGATTTTCAAGCACGAGTGTGATATGAACGTATTTATTACTCTTAGAATTAAGAAGTAACAGAAAGAGACCAACAGATGGCCTGATGGTTATGTCACTGGACTCCCACATGGTTGACCACAGTTTGTGTCCCAGGCCACCAGCTTGAAACTCATACCAGGCATGTGTGCATGTGTGCCCAAAATCCCAAGAGGAGAATGGCAGAGAAGGGATTGTGATGTGGCTTGGCGGGGTAATTTCTCACTTTCTATCTCTCTGGCAAGCACACACACTGATAGCAAAAATCTCTCTCTAAAAAAAAAAAAAAAAAAGTAGTAACAAAAGCTTCATAATATGTACTGTAAGTTATGGTAACTTGCTTATATTTGGAAAGAATCCAGTTTTATCCCATGAATTGGTCAACAAATAATAAGAGTTTAATTAACTGCCATTGCTCTAAGACTAGAATTACATTTGTTAAGTATTTTCTGTGAAAAATTCACGTTTTTATTCCTGACAATTTCTTTGCAGATTTACTTTGAAAATCAATTTAATGCTATTTTATTTTGTGTATCTGTATACATATTTTTCTCTGTCCTCTATCAAAAAGCAAAATCATTACTTATCAAAATTTTTATTGAATTATCAAAATTACAAAATACAAATAGAATAACACCCTCACGTACCAAACAGAATCAAGCACCCAATTATAACATTATCCTGGTAAAGGGAAAATATTACTAAGTTATAATAAGAAGTCACACAAAATGAAGTAACAGATGTATTCTAAAATTAGAAACATGAATTAGAAACACAGTGAACAGAAATGTTAATTAACTTCTAAATGTCCTCTTCTTGTTTTACACAAGGAAATCTCTGAAGCATTCAATCTTTTTTTTTTCTGATGGTAAAGAAAAAGAAATGGACGGGATTTGTCTTTTGTTAGCTCCCCCACAAAGAAGCAACATTATGCAAAAAGCCTAAAATTAACAAGTCTTTATGCTTAATCAGAAGTTACTCTGTGCTTTAAAAAGTCTTCTATGCAAGGTACCTAATGGGTTAAAAATGGTAATTTACTACAGCACTTTGCCAAAGTTTACACACAAAATTTGAACTTTGCATGGTATTTCCTCTCTTTCCTGGCATTATATCATTCTTTCACAGTAAGTACTTACTGTCAAGTCACAAAAACCTGCCCAGTAACATGAGAGTCTACTCAGAGACATATCTATTCTTCTTCATTATACGATGCTCAACACTGTGTGTGCACACGCACAACCCCGGGAAAAAAACCGAGCTTGTACTAAGTGCACTAAATGAAAAAGCACTCGACAAAGAAAACCATTTTCAGGTTAATAAAACTCTTACCACAACCCAGTGCCTCCCAAATGGATCGCTTAGCAGCAATGTTAAAGGTCTTAGCAGCGATTTTTTACTTTGCAGCATCTGTTGCCCTCATTGTTTAGCTAACTCGGAGCAGAACTCGTAATTATCGACTGCTTATGCTTACTCCAGCATCTGCCCACACAAACACTACAGAATTGCTCAGAGTTCAG